TTTTTATGAATAGTGAATTAAATTAATTTTGATTACCTAGATATTAATTGGAATTATTCTAGCAATAGTTTGGGACCAGTAAAAAATTTATTGACCAAAATACAGAAGATGAAGTTCGCTTAAAATATAATTTTGCATCTTCTGCTGATTATCGGCTGTGGTTACTTTTTATGAATTGTGAATTAAATTAATTTTGATTACTCAGATAATTATTGGAATTGTTCTAGCAATAGTTTGGGACCAATAAAAAATTTTTTGTCTAACAGTATTGTTAGTATACGAAAGATAATGTTCGATCAAACTATAATTTTTCATCTTCTGCTGATTATCGGTTCTTGTTACTTTTTATGAATTGTGAATTTCAAAAATTCCCTTATTTTATTTCTCAAAAAGGATTTTTTTAGAAAGGGTTTGGTACTTGAAAACTGTTTAGAATTCACCTCTGAAACAGAAAATGTTTTTATCTTGAAATAGGAAACAGGTCTTGGATGAAGAATGTTTCTGTGATTTGTTCTGAGGAACATTATTTGTTATTTGATAATTAAAATTGTTTTTGTTTTGTGTTTCTTATTGGAAAAATGATATTTCGTTTTTTTATTGTTATACCATTGTAAAATTAAAGTTTCTGTCTGTTTAGGGAAAATAACCTTGAAATTCGCCTTTAGACTTAAAAATTTTTTTTTTCCATAAATCGACACCTATAGTGTGTAAACTATAAATTTGTACGCAAATTGCAAATTATGAATTTGTCCATTTAATTATTAATAATTGAAAACGGTTTTTTTTTCAATGACATAAATTTTTGTGAAAAAAATTGTCGTAGGCGTATTTTTTATTCAATGTTTATATTTAGACACAATGTTTTTTCTTTAAAGGAGTTTACAATTTATTAAAAGTTTATTTAACCTTCTGCATTGATAGCAGCGATTTATGTTTTATGCTTAACATAAATGTATGTATACATTCATTGTGTATTATACGAATCTTGGCTTTTTAAATTTATAAATAAAACAAAGAAGAAAAAAAAAAGTTGTCCGATTGGAAGTTGCAGAAAGAGATCCAAAAACGAATGAAATTCTTCGAGACCTATGGCGCCATAGTATTTTATGGTGAACATTTTACATTCCAGAAAATTGCTCAATAATGTTTATAGCCTCAAGAATTGTATTATTTTACTGTTTCTGCTCCCCATACACAGTGTCAGTTAAAAATTATAAACTCACTCGGAAAAATTAAAATGCATTTATATTTTCCGAATAAATATACACTAATTTTGTGTTATTTTATGCGAATTTTATTGCAAGTCTAAACTAGAAATTAAATGATAAAAAAGTATCCTTGAGTGTATTCTGCGGGTGTGTATACCCCAGATAATTATATTGCCGAATGTAATTGAAATGAGATAGAGAGAGAGAGAGAGGTTTTACAACTTTTGCGCAAACTTGAGTATTTGGCAATTTATTCCAATTTTTTTCTACCATTTTTAGAAAAAGAAGTTATTCTCACAAATGTGTGTGTTTTTATATTCCTCGGCTCGTCTTTTTGTGTCTGGCTGAATTCAGGTTAGAATATTTAAATTCTAAGTGAGGTGCAATAATATTTTTATTAACATTGCGTAACTGACTGATATAATCTTCAAGTTGTAAAAAAAAGAGAAGCAGAGCACCGTTACGGTAATAAAATTGTCAATAAGAATTGTATCATTTCAATTTCACGATTTTATGTAATTCGAAAAAATTTTTTTCCGTTTTTTCTTCTTCTAACGTAATTGGATAGGATAATTATTTTATTTATAACATTGGTTAAATGGTATTACATTGGGAATTTTGTTGTTGTAATATTCTAATCTTTGACACTCATATCAATTTCGTAACGCGGCGTTTGCTTAATTAATTTCCTGAAATTAAGATATCTTCAAAAAAATGTTAGAATTGTTACTTAACGTTTCATTAACATATTCTGATCGAATCAAAATATGTATTTCAGGTAACGAAACAGTCGAAATTTTTATCGTGTTGGATCAAAGGCGAATTGAATTTCTTGTATGAATTAGTTACAGAAAAAAAGAGAGAGAAATATAGGGAAAGGGACTTCGAGTATTTAAATCATTTTATGCACTTTTGTATGAATTTTTACACGTGTGAATTTAACAATTTTTGTTAACAACAATTGGAAGAGTGAAATATTTTTTAACGCAGAAAATGACAATGTATTTTGTTTAAAAATTTTTCTTTGTGAAGTTGTTGTTATTATGAACTTTGTTAACTTCACGAATATTAATTTGTATTCAAAAAAATGTTATTATCTTCACTTTTGTTAGTAATAACGTTTTTTTTTAGATATTTGAATGGATGTTAAATAATTGTTTATTGTACTTGTTAGAAATACACTTTCGGTCAAAATTTTGCGTGTTCCCGAAATTGTTGACCATGAAATTTTAAAAAATGTATAAAAGTTTCCGTAGAAAAATATTTTGTTTTATAAATTTTAAAATTATTTTTTGAATATGTTTATTTTTGGAAGAAAGAATTATTTGAAAAGTAATTTGAACGTTCGAAACTTTAGGAACATAAGAAAAAAGAATTAAATAATTTTCAGTATTTTCTGGAAATTTTTACTATTATCATAGTAAAATTCATACTATGACCGAAATAAATTTTACTAATTATTACTAATATTTACTTCGAAAATAATAAAATTCACTTCGGAAATGTTGAAAAATTAACTGAAATTGTTAATATTTTCGAATTAAATTTTACTGCAGCCGAAGTACATTTTAGTAATTTTAACTAAAATTTACTTTAAAATAGTACAAATTTTTCTGGAAGCATTGTAAAAATTTATTGGAACTTTTACTATTTTTATAATAAATTTTACTACAATAGAAATTCATTTAGCTAATTTTTACTAAAATTTGCTTCGAAAATGATGTCCAGATTGACTGTAATTTTTACTATTGTCCAAAGAAATTTTACTGTAGCCAAAGTTTATTTTACTAATTTTCACTAAGATTCACTTCGAGAATAGTAATTTTCTCTGGAAATGTAAAAATTTACTGAAACTTTTACTATTTCCAGGATAATTTTTACTACAACCGAAGTACATTTTACTAATATTTACTAAAATTTACTTCGAAAATAATAAACATTTCTCTGGAAACATTGTAAATATTGACTGGAATTTTTACTTTTTTTGGAATAAATTTTACTGCAGTCTAAGTATATTTTACTAATTTTCACATCGAAAAAAGTAAAATATTCTCTGGAAATGTAAAAATTGACTAAAACTTGTATTATTTTTGGAATAAATTTTACTACAGCAAATGTAAATTTTACTAATTTTTACTAAGATTCACTTCGAAAATAGTAAAATTTTCTTTATAGAAATTTAAAAATTGACTAAAACTTTTAAAACTTGTACTATTTTTGGAATAAATTTTACTACAGCAGATGTAAATTTTACTAATTTTTACTAAGATTCACTTCGAAAATAGTAAAATTTTCTCTATAGAAATTTAAAAATTGACTAAAACTTTTACTACTTTTGGAATATATTTTACTGAAGCAGAAATAAATTTTATTTATTTTTACTGTAATTTACTTCTTCTTCTGTACATTTTAATGAAGTCAATTAAAAAAAATTGAGAACTGTAAATAAAATTTTTGCGAAATGATTAACAAATGCAAAGAACTCTTTAACCACTTCACTGGCGGGGCGTTCCAAATGGCGTTCCACGCGCCGAGGCCCAGACTGGCAAAAACACCGAAATGGCGTTCCTAATAAAACATTATTTTTAAAGAGTGTACACTACTTTTAACTTATACAAAGCAATATTTCTATAGTTTAGACATCATGGAACAAGATTATCACAATAAAAATTTCAGTTTTTGGGATTTTCAATGTTTTTTCAAACAATGAAATAGTCAATTTTTACCACTTTTCACCAAATGGCGTTCCACTTTTTTTCAATTTTTACACAGTAAAACTCATATTTTTTATTTAAAAAATATATTTACATACAAAACATTATAATATAATAATGTAATAAGTAAAAAATAAATATAAATAATTAATAAATAAAATTTAATAATTATTAATAATAACAAAAGTGGAACGCCATTTGTTAAAAAGTGTTAAAAATCGACTATTTCAACGTTCAAAGAAACATTGAAAATCTCAAAAACTGAAATTTTCATTGTGATAATCTTGTTCCCTGATGTCTAAACTATAGAAATATTGCTTTGTAGTAGTAAAAAGTAGTGTACACTCTTTAAAAATAAAGTTTTATTAGGAACGCCATTTCGGTGTTTTTGCCAGTCTGGGCCTCGGCGCGTGGAACGCCATTTGGAACGCCCCGCCAGTGAAGTGGTTAATAAAAATTTAATTAACTTACATTTTGCAATGTAAATTTTCATTACGGCTATAAACTAGAAAGTTTTATCTTAATTTTTGAAATAGTTCGAGATAATTTTTTTGAATTGTTTGCAACAATGGAAATTTTGTAATTATATTTATAATAATAAAATTATAATTCAATTCTTTTATTTAATTTTCTAATATATTATAATGAAAAAAATTATTTGTTTCAAACAACTTTTAATTAATTCAATTAAATGGTTTTTCTTTTAAATACTGAATTGGTTAATTAATTAATTGGTTGAAATATTTAAATATAATTCATTAGATTTAAATAAAAATTATATGTCCCCTAAAGTTCTGATGGTTCAAATAAATGAAATTTATTTCTTTTTCAAATTAAAATTTTAGTACAATAATTTTGTGTGAAGTAACAAAAAATTATTTGATATTAGAATTAATATTTTTTTGAATCAATTTTTTTTTATAATTATAAATATATTTTAGAATTATATAATTATATTGTATAATTATAATAATATTGTAATGATATTGTCAGTAGGGATTCACGCACAATTTACACCGAATTAGTGAAACAAAAATTGCTTTTTGCTAAACATGTTTTAAATTTTTCAATTTGATAGTTCCGCTAACCAGAATAATTGTGGATCAAGTGGTTTGGGAATAATGTCAGGATTATATTGAGGAGAGGAAAATAATTTTTGAATGAATAAGGATGATAATAATGGGATTTGGAGTTAGTGAATCGTCACGTTAAAGATAGTATGCCGCTTTGGCTGCTTGCTCTTGACGAACCAGCATCAGATCCATGCGGTAGCATCACAAAGGAACACGTTCCATCGGGATAAAATCCGTTGGATCGTTTATTTAGGGGATGCTCGCACGTGGTAAGGCCTCATCAAAAGCCAATGCATTGGCTTCGACCTTGGCAGTTTCCACGGACGAACAACCCACTGTAGAAGGAGGTTTTACACAGTCCTTGTACCATAATTCCAACAGGTTTAATCCTAATGGTGACTTTCCTGCATCAGGAATTAATAATCGCGAAATAGAATGGTAAGAAACTTTCTAATTCCTCTCATCTATAAATATATATACGATTCAAAACTGGTTTTTTTTTCTTATCAAAAAAGTGCAAGTTCAATCGAGATTTTGTTTCTTTTCATCTCGTCTAGATATATTCGTAATAAATCTATTTTTTATAATTACCGGATACTTTATAAGATAGAATGAAAAAAAAAATAATTTTTCTCAGGAAACATTTGCCTTAGATTACTAGCAACAACCAACCACAATATGTATTTACACAATAATGACTGGAGAACAATTCACCAGATTATAAACGATTCTATCCTTGGATTCTAAATGTGAAATTGCACAAGATAATGTTGTGAGTGCATAAAACACATTATGTGACGTCATTGGTTGAGACATTAAAAAAAATAAGCAGAATAAGAAGAAGAAAAAAGAAATTCTCGACAGTCTAATTTTGTAATAAAAAGTTTTTTTTTCTTCAAATGATCTGATATACCGAGAATAATTTAAGTTGAGTAAAAGTATATTTGTCTCAGAGAGTATATATACTAAATTATTTGAACTAAATTTATTTCGAACAAATAAATAATATTATTTGTTACAAATAAATAATATTTATTACAAATAATTTATTATAGAAATAATTTTATTTGAACCAAACATAATTTATTTGAATTAAATATAAAAGTAAATTTGTTACGGAGCCTACTATTTATTTGTTTTAAATAAAAATTTTATTCGACACAAATAAATCTTTTACTTGAACCAAATAAAATTTTATTTAAAAATTTTATTTACACCAAGAAAAATTTTTTTTAATTCAAAAATAAGTAGTGAACCAAAAAAATATGCTTGAATTAAACATATTTTACAATTGGATTAAAAGTAATTTTTATTGAATCAAACTTTTAGGCATTGAATCAAAATTATTATGTTTAATTCGAAAATAATTTTTGGTTGACTGTATAACAAAGATAATTATGTTTGATTCAAATGTATTGTTTTCTCAGTGATAGTTTTATTTATTTCATTCAAAATTTTATTTATTTAAATGAAACTTTTACTTGAGTCAAATAAAATTTTATTTAAACCAAATAAAATTTATTTGAACCAAGTAAATGTTTAATTGGCTCTGATAATTTTTATGAGACAAATATATTTTTGTGAGATAAATATATTTTTTTTTGCATCCAGAGATAAAGTTTATTTAAACCAAATATAATTTATTTGAGTTAAATAAAAGTATATTTGTCTCAGAACCAACTATGATATTTTTTTGTTTTAAATAGAAATTTTATTCGACGGAAATGAAACTTTTACTTGAACCAAATAAAATTTATTTGAACCAAATAAAATTTTATTTAAATCAAATAAAATTTATTTGAAACAAATAAAATGGCTATTTGGCTTCTGAGTAAAATTTTTGTCTGGATGTATAGTTGTTTGAAGAAATAAAAATTAAGGATGCGAGAGAATTTTTTTTTTATTAACTAATTTTTTTTATTTTTGGTATTGAATCTATTCTAATGGATGATGATAAAATTTTTAAATTTCTTTTTAATTAATTTTTAATAATAAATTAAAATTTTTTCGTAAATGTCAGGAATAAATAATAGTAAAAAAACTTGTTTATCAAACTTAAAACCCTTTCAAACTTGTTTTTTATGCTTTTTTAATGAATGTGTGATTTGAAAATTTTCCTTCAAGAATGTTTTGTATATTTGTGTAAATATTTATGTGTATACAATTTTTATTATAATAGAACAGTAAAATTTTTATTAGTTTTTAGATTTTGAGTTTCGTTTGAGAAAAAAAGAGTTAGATAATCGTTAATTTTCTAATTACTCAAAAGGTAATTATTTTCTTTTATGAACGTTATTAACAAATTGTTGTTTTTTTTTGTGAGAAATTATTCTTACGAAGAAGTTAAAAAGAGGACAAGGAAAAATAATAATAATTAGATAAAATAGTACCTATTTATTTTTAAATAAATTTTTTTAGTTTTGATATTGTTTTTTCCTTTTTGTTAGTTTGTTTTTGTTAGTTCTTTATGTTCGTTCTTTTTGTTAGTATTCTTTTTGTTCGTTTTTGGTTATTTGTGCTATTTTGAATTAAAAAGTTAAAACTGTCGATAATTTTTCAACGCAGTGGAATTATTAATTAAAATTCTAAAATTTTGAAGGTTCTAACGAATGAAATTGAATTATTTTTCAAATTAAATAATATTATTATTATTTTAGGAATAAAATTTGAATTTGAAAAAAATAAACAAATTTCGTTGATTACGATTGGAACTTTAGAAACATTGAAAAAAATATATCTTTCATTTAAACGTTCGAAATTTTTGGAGTATTAATAATTTTAAAATTAAATATACGTTGTAGAAGCAAAGGAATAAAAAATCACTTTATTTGTTTGATCTGCACTTGAAGAAAAAAAATCAGTTTGAGCGTAAATATTTTGAGAGAAATCTAAAAGTGAAAACAGTGGCGAGTCACTTTGGCATAAAATTTAGATTATCAATTTTATAAATTAGCGTAATTGCGAAATTTATTCAATTTTCGTTGTGTATATTATATCAGTTTGGAAAAAAGGCAAATTAAGTTTTTTCTATATTTTTTGAAAATTTGAATTTTTCGAGTATTGGAATTTTTATTGAATTTTTTATTGAGATTAGTACTGGATTTTGAATTGAATTTTGTATTGAGATTAGTACTGGATTTTGAATTAAATTTTGTATTGAGATTTGCATTGGATTTTGTATAGAATTTTGTATTGAATTTTGTATTGACTTTTGTATTGAATTTTGTATTGAATTTAGTATTGAATTTTGTATTGACAAGATTAGTGGGTAAAAATTTTCCTATAATATAGCCAAAGAAGAGGTGGTGTTTTTTTTCCTGTTTCTCTACTAAAAAATGCTCAAGGTTTTTAAAAGAGTTGAAGAAGTATTAGCATCTTTTAATCGTTTTGCAGGATAGAACCAGATTCCTTAGACGTTGAAGTATCCGGATTGGTTAATGCAATATCGTCATCGCAGAATTCAAAAAAATGTTATCGAACATCAACGAGTTCAGGATATTCGAGTCATTCACCGCCACTTTCAGCAACATCATATACGTGCTGTGTGTCTGTAACACCTCAACAAGGTGCAGTTGCCTCAACCACTAATCCTTTCAAGGAACAAGGATCAGGTTTAGCTGTGATTCATGAGGGAAAAACAATTCCAAGTCCAATTTGGCCTTGTATAGGAGACAATTCAAAAAATATTCATTATGGTGCCTGTGTAGAGCGTAACGGTGAAATGAAAGGTAAATATAGGATCCTGATGATTCCATCTGACGCTTGTAAATTGCCAATTAGATTTCTTTCTGCTTTTTTTTTCTCTCTTTCGAGATAAGAGAACATTGACACTTACAAATCTACTTGTCGTTGGCTTGTTTTTTTTTTGTTGGAAAAAATGCTTCTTCTTTTTTTTCATTTCTCTTTGGTCGCTTTTGGATTTTTTGACTTGTTTTTATCTGTGGTTTTATCTTGTTTTCATCTGGATTTTTTAGCTTGTTTCAATCTTTGGATTTTTTTTATCATGTTTCTATCTGAATTTTTATCGTGTTTCTATCTTTCGCTTTTTTATCATGTTTCTATCTTTGGAATTTTTATATTCCTCATACTTAATCGCTTACATTGCTTAATAGTTTACTCATTAATCAAGAGATGAATGAAAAATTCTGTTTGTGGGAATTTTCGATGTATATCAAGTTAGCAGTGCAACTTCACAAAATTCAAAAATGAACAATACTATAATTTGCCGTTAATTAATCGCTAATTAATTGTGAAAGAAATAATTTTGTCGTTTAAATATTTTTTTTTATACAGGGTGCCCTGCTAACTTGATGTCAAGTTAGCAGGGCACCCCCTTGAAACTGTTAAATCAATATATTTCGCAGAATTTCTTGCGCAAGAATTTACCGTTTTTTATCCGTAACAAATCCCATTAATCCTTTTGAAAAATAATTAAAGTTGCGAGGGCAAACAAAAGTTTTCGGGTTTAGAAGTGTAGAATAACCACTTTAACCGCACTCATAGGGTTATTCCTGTGTTTTGAATTTACCGCTTGTCGAATTTAAATGAATTGTGTCCGGGAAAAAATCGTATGATTATTTTCAACTTAACATTAGATAATATCAAGTTAAGCCAACCTCCTATCTCAATTTTTTATATTTGTTTTCATTTTTATAAATTCCACACTTTCGCCACTAGTTGTGCAATGTACTATTGTACCAAATGATCAAAATATTAGTGTACGGAACCCGCTATTTCAGTGCAAGTGAAATTCGCACTTGCCCAGTTTTTTTTAAATGCCGTCTAACATAAAAATAAACAATTATGAAAAGATAAAAATTACTTCGGAGGCGAGGGAATATTAATTTAGTTAAAATTTCTAAAATTTTTGTAAGATCCTGGAAAAAAATTTCAAATATAGTGTTTTTCCTACCTTGGATCCTCTTGCAATTTTTTTTAATTACTTCATACATTAAAATTTACAATTATCAAAAGAAAAAATTGTTTCTAAGGCATGAAAATGATAATTTAATTGAATAAACAATTTAATTTAATACCGAGATTTTTTAAAAAATCATAACTATTATAAATGGTACAATATAAATTAAATTTATCAATCTTTTTCTGTGAAAGTCAGGTGGCAGATTGCACCCGTAGTAATTTCTTAAATCATTAATGCGCGCATAGAATTTTACTAGTAAATTGAATAAGTTAATAAAATATCTCTGAATATCTATAATATATTTAAAATATAAGTAAATAACGTAAATATTTTTTCCATAGACTATAAACGTTGTAAAAATAATCTCAGGGCATTCTAGCGATATTTTTATTATATCCCTAGGATATCCTGTGAATATCCTCTAGATATACCAAGGACAGCCATAAGATATCCCTACACTGTAAAAAATTTATGGAGTTAACGGACTCGGGAGTTGGGAGTGAAATTTTTTGAGTTAAAAATCAACTCCAGAAGAGAGTTAATTTACTAACTTCTACTAACTCCCTTTATCAACACCTGCCGGAGTTATTTTTTCTTTGGGGAGTTAGCATTTGGGTGTGAAGTTTTAACTCTCTTTATTTAACTCCCCAATGGGTTGCGACTTTTATAGAATCCCCTGGGGAGTTAAAATTTAACTCCCTTTTTTACAGTGTAGGATAACCTGTTGATATCCCACGGAATTCCTAGGGAAAACCCCCCCCAAAATATCCTACAAAGCGGCGGTTTGTATATCCCAGAGATAACCTACGGATATTCTAGGATATCATGTGGACTTTCTCGGGATATCTTACATTTATACAGGACATCCTGAGGATATCCTAAAGATATCCTTTTGTTGTAAGGGTTGTTGCTTGTTATTTTAACACCAAATTCGTTATTAAAATAACCTTTTATTTTCTTTGCATTGCAAGTCATTTAAATAACACCTTTTTAACTCTGCACCCAGAAAAAATTTGTTTAAAACAAAGAAAAATTGTTTTTTTAAAATCCCTTTTTAAATTGAAGATGAAATTTGTTTTAATAAAAAAAAAATCTTCCTTGCTTTTGCAAAAAAGTTTTTAAATGTTTTTAATAGAGGTGTAGTGCAAAATTCGAATCGAAAGTAAATTCGAATCGAAATACGAATTCGAAGTTTCGAATTTCGAATTGGCCGATTCGAATCGAAAGAAAATTCGAATCGAAATACCAATTCGAAGTTTCGAATTTCGAATTGGCCGATTCGAATCGAAAGAAAATTCGAATCGAAATACGAATTCGAAGTTTCGAATTGGCCGATTCGAATCGAAAGTAAATTCGAATCGAACTAGCCAATTCGAAAATCGGAGTTTCGAATTGTACAACTCAACTCGGTTAATTTATTCGCACAATTATTTTGACAGAAATCCTAACCTAAAATTAGTAGGCTGATATTCATAATACAGCTATCTATAGTACTTTGAAACTTTTTCTTAAAAATTGTCTATATATTTTTTATTAATTCTATAATTTTAATATATAAACAACATACAAATACCAATAATTTTTAATATTTCTTATTAATAATTAATAATTATTTTTAAGTAATAACAAATATTTTTCTGAACATTGAAAATTAAAAATTTGAAAATTATAAAGTTAATAAAGAAAAATAAATGTATATTTATTATAGAGGAAGAATTCATTTTATTTTTAATTTTCAAAAATAAGCAATTATAAAATTAAATTTTTAGAAATTTCCATGGTTATAAAGTTACGTTATTATTATAAATTTAATTTTAAATATACAATAATATTTCAGCATATTTTTATTTATTTAACTTCTTTATATTATCATAAAAAAATACTTAGATGTGTTCTTTATTTTATAGTAATGTAAATTATTTGTTTTCTTAAATTAAATAAATTAAATAAAATTTTTTTAAATTAATAACAAAATTATAAGTTGTATTTAAATGAAGTAAATAATTATAATTTTTACAAATAAATTTTAATTGTAATAAATTAACTTTTTTGATTCAAAATTTTCTAAATTTTAAGAAAAATGTTTTCCTAAAAATATAATTTTTTAAATCTAATTAATTATAAAATGACTTTGTATTCTTTCTTTATTGTTTATATTTTTTTTATAGTATATAATTGCTCTTCATGTATACCCCATTCGGGTTTTTACATATCTGACAACCCCCCTATTATTCTCCAAATTTCCCCAGATTTCCCCAAATACCCCCTATTTGCGGTCCGCAGCCGACTTTTATTAGAAGTACTCGTATTCACATGGCCCTCTCTGGCCATAGTTAAGGGAAACTACGGAAAACCTTTAACTGAGTACAGCCGATTTATCGACGCCGAGTCTTGGATGTATAAATTCGAAGTCTCGAATATTACACAACCAAGTCCTCGACGTTCAAATCGCCCGCTCAGATTATCTCACGTGCCGGAAAAATCCCAGGCTAATGGGCGCGAACCAAGTACCCTTGGTCCATCTCGCCGAGCGAGGCATTTATCCGACTGAGCTAATCTGTCGGTGATTAAATTCTTAATTTTAGAATATCAATTTTTCTTTGTGGGCAGTATATATCTATTATCCATATTTCTATACGCTTGAAGTTCCTTTTGTTCAAGTGTTCAATTTCGAATTGGCCGATTCGAATCGAAAGAAAATTCGAATCGAACTACCAATTCGAAAGTAAATTCGAATCAAACTAGCCAATTCGAAAATCGGAGTTTCGAATTGTACAACTCAACTCGGTTAATTTATTCGCACAATTATTTTGACAAAAATCCTAACCTAAAATTAGAAGGATGGTATTTTTAAATCCATTATAGTTTACAATATTCAGTTTTACAAAATTTCAAATATTCCTAAATTCTTCAATGAAATAAATATTAAATTATAAAAACTTAGAATAATATTTACAAAGTTCAATTAAATTTATTCAAAATTCAATTATTTTTAAAAATTCACGCTATATTGCTTTTGATATTTAATTGTTAATCTAAAATTTTAATTGAATTGAATGTTTCTTAAAATTCAATTCCCATAAAGAATCGTTATCAACAAATTGTAATAAAATTTTTGAGAATAGTGACATTTTTCGAGAAATACGATTAAAATTTTATAAAAAATAATTGAAATTCTGCAATGAGTTTTATTATTTATGAAAATAATTGAATTCCTAAAAGAATTTTATTTTTTATAAAAATAATTGATTCCCTGTAAAAATGTTATTTATACGAGAATATTTTATTTTCTGCAAAGGATTTTATTATTTTAAGTAACAACACAAATATTGAATTTCTGTAAAGTATTTTATCATTCATGAAAATAATTGAATTTTTAAAAAAAATTTTATTCAAATTTATAACAATAATTAAATGCCTTGCAGAAATTTTGTTAATGAGTTGAATAATAATTGAATTACTGCGAAGCCTTTTATTAAAATTCGGACAATAATTAAATTCTTTTCAAAATTTCAATTAAAATAGTATTAGAAAAGAAATAGTAATAGTAAAGAATTTTATTAAAATTTAAAAAAAATTGAATTCCTAAGAAGAATTTTATTAAAATGTTTAAAATGGAGAAATTTTATTATTTATGAAAATAATTAAATTTTGGATAAATTTTATCAATTTTTTCTGAATAATTGAATTTCTTTGCGAAATTTTAATAAAATATATTTTTATTTCTTGTATTAGCGAATTTAAAGTAGTGCAAATTCTCAAAAAAAAGAAATAGTAGCTTCGAGTTGCTGAAATCTAAAAAAAAGTACTTAAATATATAGTACCATAACGTAAAAAAAGTAGTAAATAGTTGGTTTATACTTATTTTTTATTTATTTTAGTTTATTAACTTTTGAATTTAAAAATCTTTAATTTTCAATTTTTAGAAGATTATTTCTTAAAAATAATTAATAGGGTAGAGTGGGGCAAACCGGACCCCCTAACGGTTTTTTGACTCTTGTGACCAAACGAATCAACTGATTTCACTTTTCGATGGCTTGTTTGAATGATCATTTAATTGCGCAACTTTTTCCCAGAGACACATATACCTTATCTTTTATTGTTAAGTTGCTGTGTTAACTTTAAAAAATTTTGCAAACGGTCCGGTTTGCCCCACCCCCTGGGGTAAACCGGACCGTTTGGTTTTTTATTTATAATATTGCATTTACATAATCTACAATAATAAAAAAACATAAAGAATCATGTAAACAATGGTTGTGAATAAAATTTTGTGATAAAGGGAGTTAGTAGAAGTTAGTAAATTAACTCTCTTCTGGAGTTGATTTTTAACTCAAAAAATTTCACTCCCAACTCCCGAGTCCGTTAACTCCATAAATTTTTTACAGTGTAGGGATATCTTATGGCTGTCCTTGGTATATCTAGAGGATATTCACAGGATATCCTAGGGATATAATAAAAATATCGCTAGAATGCCCTGAGATTATTTTTACAACGTTTATAGTCTATGGAAAAAATATTTACGTTATTTACTTATATTTTAAATATATTATAGATATTCAGAGATATTTTATTAACTTATTCAATTTACTAGTAAAATTCTATGCGCGCATTAATGATTTAAGAAATTACTACGGGTGCAATCTGCCACCTGACTTTCACAGAAAAAGATTGATAAATTTAATTTATATTGTACCATTTATAATAGTTATGATTTTTTAAAAAATCTCGGTATTAAATTAAATTGTTTATTCAATTAAATTATCATTTTCATGCCTTAGAAACAATTTTTTCTTTTGATAATTGTAAATTTTAATGTATGAAGTAATTAAAAAAAATTGCAAGAGGATCCAAGGTAGGAAAAACACTATATTTGAAATTTTTTTCCAGGATCTTACAAAAATTTTAGAAATTTTAACTAAATTAATATTCCCTCGCCTCCGAAGTAATTTTTATCTTTTCATAATTGTTTATTTTTATGTTAGACGGCATTTAAAAAAAACTGGGCAAGTGCGAATTTCACTTGCACTGAAATAGCGGGTTCCGTACACTAATATTTTGATCATTTGGTACAATAGTACATTGCACAACTAGTGGCGAAAGTGTGGAATTTATAAAAATGAAAACAAATATAAAAAATTGAGATAGGAGGTTGGCTTAACTTGATATTATCTAATGTTAAGTTGAAAATAATCATACGATTTTTTCCCGGACACAATTCATTTAAATTCGACAAGCGGTAAATTCAAAACACAGGAATAACCCTATGAGTGCGGTTAAAGTGGTTATTCTACACTTCTAAACCCGAAAACTTTTGTTTGCCCTCGCAACTTTAATTATTTTTCAAAAGGATTAATGGGATTTGTTACGGATAAAAAACGGTAAATTCTTGCGCAAGAAATTCTGCGAAATATATTGATTTAACAGTTTCAAGGGGGTGCCCTGCTAACTTGACATCAAGTTAGCAGGGCACCCTGTATAAAAAAAAATATTTAAACGACAAAATTATTTCTTTCACAATTAATTAGCGATTAATTAACGGCAAATTATAGTATTGTTCATTTTTGAATTTTGTGAAGTTGCACTGCTAACTTGATATACATGAATTTTCGCTTGTTAGAAATGCATGTGGCTGAATTTGTTTCTTGACGGTATTTTCATTTTGCTGAAGTAACTTTTAAACAAACTAATCAATAACTAACCGAATAACATTTTTATTTATTAAAATTTTTAGTTCGATCGTTTTGCTGTTTAATCGATTTTCAATTAACGAACTTAACCAAATTGTTCTTTTACACGGAATTTTTTAATTTAAGGTCGAATCTTAAAAAGTATAAATTGAAAACTTGAAATTTATTGCGCATTTTTATTCATGTTTTATTTAACAGGATTTTTTCTTATCCGAATAATTATTTGACAGATTCTTTACTTCACTGAATTTTTATTTAATAGATTTTTCATTTTACAGCTAAGTTTTCTATTTTTGTTTATCTTTTTTTTTTTCTATTTTTGTTGTTGACATTTTTTTTCCATCTAATTTGCATTGTCAGGAATTTTTATTTTACAAAATTTTTATTTGGTTTAATTCTTGTTAAAACGAATTTTTCAGCAACACATTTTTTATTTAATGAAATTTTTGTTAAATGGAATTTTTATTTCAATTAAATTATTATTTAATGAAATTTTTGTTAAATGGAATTTTCATTTCAATTAAATCATTATTTAACAGATTTTCCATTTAGCAGAATTTTTGTTCAATCGAATTCATGTTAATACGAATTTTTATTTGGCAAAACTTCTATTTAGTGGACTTTTTGTTAAATCATATTTTAATTAATTTTCATTTAATTGAATTTTTATTCAAAGAGTTTTCGTTTTAATTAAATAATTATTTAAACGAATTTCTATTTAACATAATTTTGGTTTAATTGAATTCATATTGATACGAATTTTTATTTGACAGAATTTATATTTAATGGAATTTTTGTTGAATCAAATTTTTGTTTAACAGAATTTCTATTTAGTGGAATTCTTGTTTGAATCGAATTTTTAATCAACAGAATTTTCATTTAATGACATTTTTGTTTATTGGAAGTTACGTATAAAGTAAATAATTAATTAACAAAATTCCAATTTCATCGAATTTTTGTTTAATGAAATTCATATTGATACGAATTTTTATTTGACAGAATTTATATTTAATGGAATTTTCGTTGAATCAAATTTTTGTTTAACAGAATTTCCAGTTACTTTAATTTCTATTTGATGAAAGTTTTATTCACTTGGACAAAATTTTTTTACTCAACATTTTTACTTAACAGAATTTTCATTCAAAATAATTTCTATATTATGGGATTTTTCTTTAATAAAATTTATTTTGATACGATTTTTATTTGACTGAATTACTATTCAATTTTTTTGTTGACTCGAATTTTTATTGACAGAAAATTTTGTTTAGTACAAATTTTATTTAACAGAACTTTTATTTTGTGGAATATTTACTTAATTAAATTTTCAAATAAGAGAATTAATATTTTTAAGAAGTTAATTGAATACTTGGATGAGTAAAGAATTAAATATAAATATTTTATCTGATGGAATGCTTTCAAAACCTTAGAATTTTTCTACGAATTTTTTTGTATTTTTCATATAATTTTCTATAAAAATGTTTATAAACTTTTGTCGTAAAAGTTTTGTTAAATTTCATAACTTAGGATTTTTCTATAAATTTTTTCTTCTCTTTTCTCATTTTCAATAAAATTTTCAAAGTAAATGTTTATAGACTTTTGTCTTTAAATATTTTTACAATTTTTTTATCACCAATTTTTTGTAAAAGTTATGATTGACGATTTATAAACTTGACTTGGAGGGTAAATGAAAATAAATCCGTTAAATAAAATTTCAGTTGAACAAGAATTCAGTTAAATAATAATCATTACGAATTTAAAACAAATTTTTAAAAAAATTTTATTTCTTTTTTTTAAATAAATAAATAATTTTTATGAAATATTAATTTAACGTCGAAATAAAAATATTCCCATTGAATTTAATTTAAACAGTTTTTTTAATTAATCGAAAAAATAAATAACAATTATTATTATTCTGTATCTGGTTAAATAAATAACTTTTATGAAATATTTGAAATCGAAATAAAAATTTTCTCATTGAATTTGATTTAGACATTTTTTTTAATTTTTCGAAAAATATAAATAATAATAATTATTATTCTGTACTTTTATAAATTAATTTATTATTTTTATGAAATAGTTAACGTCGAAATAAAAATATTGCTATTAAATTCAGTTAATTATTTTTTAATTAAGTGAGAAAAATAATTAAGAGTATTTTTTTAAAATTAAAAATATTATTGTCAGTTAAGAGCCAATTTGGTGAAATGAAAATTTATTTAAATGAAAACTCGATTAAACAGCAAATAAAATAAGAATAAATAATTAAATAATAAAACAAGTCAAAATAATATAAAGAATTTGTTGAATAGTAAATAATTAACTGCGGTGTAATTGACATTTCCGTCAGGTGAAAATTTTGTCAACAGTAAAAATTCTGTTTACACATGAGAAATTAAAAGATTTTTTTCTGTAAAATGCGTGATTTTTATCAAAGTCAGTATAATTGTTAGATAATTAGCATAAAACGTTTCATAAAATGCTAATTGTCTTCCAAGTCTACAAACACTGCGATTATTATCACAAAATTATGGAAATTTTCTTTCGATAACATTGATTTACTGTGTGGAGAAAGGTTTAGAGGTTCTTGAATTATTTTTTCCACCTAAAAATGGTGCATTTTTCTAACAAGGTTGCTTTTTGATGAATTACAGAAATTTAAAAATTAGAAGTAGTTTTATCTTATCGCTTCTTTCACATATAATGGAAATTCCTGCTCTCCTTTGTTTTCTCTTTGTGGACAATTTAAATCTTAAAAAAAAAATTAATATTATTCTAACAGGTGCGATTCCTTGTTGCTGTTATGGCTACGCGTTTCCGCACCCTTATTGCCAGTGGGATCGTGAACAGCAAACTTCCGGAACTGTAGCACGCGAGGTATTAATGGAGTTATCCCGAACATTGAACTCTGTTTTGGAAGGTGATACTGGAATGACACCGGCAGAAGTTTTACGTGATATTTCTCGTACTATTAATCAGAGTATTGATATGGATAAAAAAGCAGTTCTCGAAGATTATATTTATCGAAATTCATCAGCAAGTGGAGTAAAAGATTCATTTCCCACTGAAATGAATCCAATTAATTCACGTTTTTATAGTAAAAATGAAAATTATTTACAAAATTCAGCGAGAAATACAGCAACAACAACAACAACAACATCGTCGTCGTCGTCGGCGCATTGTCATTGTGAGAAAAATGTTATTGGTCAGGATATTTTATCGACACAATTTGTTGATCAGAATAATTCTTTAATTGATGGTGATAAGAAACGAAATCCTGAAATTCTTCTCGTACCGGAAAATAGGGGATTTTTTTCGAAAAATATTCACTCGTATAGTAAGAAAAATTTTAATAATAAAAATTGTTCGTGTCAAGGATTTAATAATTCGAGTGGAATGACAAATTTGAAGGCGAAAGAGCCTGGAAAGGATTCATTGCAATTGAACAGTGATAGGGAGAAGTTTGATATTAAAAAGGAGTATCCACATGTGAATCATGGTTATTCAGTGGTGAGATTTATTTTTTATTTAGATTTCTCTTGTTGTATAAAAATTGTATCTCAGGAGTTAGTTTTTGAAATCAATTTTTTTTTTTTAAAGACTTGTGAAAACAAATTTTATGAGTTTTCTCAATTTTTGGTTAATTTTCTTTTTGGTTGGAATTTTTGTAACTAAATTTTTTTCTGGTTACTTCGAACAAAAATTTGAGACAACAGAATGTTTTTTGATTCAACCAAGAAAGTATGGTTGTACAAATATCAAGAAATTTAAATTTAATAAAAAGAAAAATTCAAAGAATCCCTGAGACACGTTTTTCATATAAACAAGGAAAACTCTTTCTTCTGACATCTATTTGAAGATAATTGTTTTAGCAGTTAAATTATGGTGAGGAGGGAACGTCGAGCGAGGGGAATAGTCGTTCATCATCAAAGGATAGTTGGTGTCGAGAATCTGGGATATTTGAAAAAAGTTTGAATTTCACATTAGATGGATCGAGAGCTGAAAGATTACGTCGAACCATTGAGGAAGCGAAAAGAAGACGTCAGTGGTGTCGCGTAATAATTACACTCTTTGGACTCATCTTTTTTATTTTAAGTGTCGTTATTGTATCATTATCAGTCACAAAAGGCCGGAAAGCATTTGGCAGTATGTGATTTGATCAGATAAATTTGTGACATATATATTATTATTAATATTAATATTAATATTAATAATCTTTATAATTTTATTATTAAAACGCGAAATTAGTTTTACTATATAAATAATATTATCTTCACTGTTAGAGAGACTTGTGAAGCAAAGTATTATGTATGTAATTTAGAATTTTAAACTGGAAGTGAACATTATTTACGAACGTCTGGCAAATTTTCTGAAAAGGAAAAAAAAATATCTGCAATACTACGAAAATAATTGATTAATTTAATGAATTGTTTTTTAATTTAGGGTAAATTTGTGTCAATGAAGTGAAGTTTTTAGTATAAAAAAATTTATCCAGATTTTACAGAAATTAACAGAAAAGTAGATTATTTTGAAACTGAAAAATAAATTTTTCTATTCAGAGGTTTTTTTAATTTAAAAAATTTTAATTCTTTACCAAAATATAAATTATTTATTCGAAAATTTTTTACTTAAATTTAGTGTTAGAATTTTTTTTCAAATTTAAATTTTTTGTTCGAATTAAAATTTTTTGTTTAAATTAAACTTCTTTATTTAAATTTAATTAAATGAAAAGTAAAAATTAAATGTGTTTGTCTGTTAAAATGTTAAGAACTTTTTAATATCAAATTTATTTTTTGCAATTTTTCTTATTGGGAAAATTCACCTTTTGACATTTTTTTTGCCCTAAGTTTTAAAATACATTAGTACTAATATTAATATTTTAGTAAAAAGTTTAATAATAATTTAATAATTAGAATACAAATTATATATGCAATAAAAAAAATTTTGTATATATATTTTTCAGTGATATAGACGGTACAATATGTAGTTGATAGGGATTTTCGAAAAACTGTGTTGATTCTCTTTTAATTACAAAATTAGTCAAAATTTACTAATGATTACAATTTTATTAAGAATTATTAAGATTGTAATTTTGTTTTCGAAATTTTATTTAATTTTATCATTTATTTAGAAAAATTGTAGAAAAATGTTAATTATTAGCAGAAAACTACTAAATTTGAATATGAAAAATGCGAGAAAATGTTTTTAGCAAAAAATTAGTAAAATTCGAGTTTTAGACGAAATTTAGAAATTTGTTAAAATAATTAGCGAAATTTGATATTGTAAATAAAGTAAAATTTTATTTCTAAATGAATTATTATTAATCAATATATGATTTTTACTATTATTTTTATTAGGCATTATTATTGTTTTATTTTTATTATTATTATTTTTTTTATTATTATTTTTTTATTATTATTAATATTATTGTTAATATTATCATTTTTAAATCAAAAATGAATAATTTTATTATTATTTTTATTTCAAAATTGAATAGTAATGTGATTGCAAGAGTTTAGTAGTTTTCTGTTGATAAAATTGATGACTAATTTAGAAAACATTAATTTTAATTAGCACACAATTTTTTCGTAATTTCATTAGTAAATTTTGATTAAAAAAAATTGAGAGAGAAAAAAACTTAACTGCGTTAAAATGTAGGGATTATTTAAAAAAAAGTTCTAGCCATATCAAGTAGGTTAATTAAAAAGTATATATATATAAATATAAAAAAAGCCACAAATAATTGTAAACATTTTGAGTTTTATCAAAGTTTTTGCATGTGCCGTTATACAGATTGTATCTGTGCGTTTAATTTTTAATAATAATTATTATCTTCAGTAAAAATAAATATATTATACAAAAAAATGAATGTGTAGAAAAATTTAATAAAACTAGAATTTAGAAAAGTTTACAAATATCAATATTATTGGGGACAAAAAAAATTGATATTTTTTTCCATGTGATTATTAATAAGTATTTTTGAAGGGAAGTAAATGAAAGTTTTTTTTATTATTAATAATTCAAACGACTTTCTTCAAAAGAAAATAGTTGATTTTTATAATTATTTTGTTATACTGTCTTCTATGAAACTTGTCTAGAGTAGAAATTTCGGAATAAATTTACAAAATTTATATTATCTCGATGATGATCTTGATAAATGCAGTTCGAGCTGTTTTCACTGAACAGATTACTTGAAAATAAATTAAACATTATCGTGAATACAATGGTATTCTAGTTAATTATGTAGGGAATAGTGTGAAGTGTATTTTGAAATGTATTTAAAATTTACAAGTACTTAAATTTTTAAACTAAGTCAATTATTTTTTAATTAATTTTCTATTAAGAATAATTCCTTTGTCATGTGAATTACAAGTCGAGAATTAATTTTTTCCTAAATGAATGAATGAATGAATGAATTAATCAATTAATTAATTAATCAATTAATTAATTGTTTAATTAATTGATTAATTATTTAATTAATTATTTAATCAATTTAATAATTAATCAATTAATTAAACAATTAATTAATCTATAAATTACTTAATCAATTAAATAATTAATGTATTACAATTTTTTGAATTAGTAATTAACAATATTTTTTTATTTTACAAAAAAAATGAATTAGAATTTACGAATTTTAATGATTCGAGTGTACAAAAAGGATGAAATATTTTTAAATTAAATTTTTGAATAAGAATACAATTTATTGAGGTATTTGGGTTTTTATTCTTTACCACAATGAATAATAACTGACTTAAATTATTGGGGAACGGTTAATGAACTTTCGTAGGAAGTGAGATTTGTTTTTTGTGATTTCTCCTGAAAACGTGGACTTCGATTTGGCAAAACATTATGTAATGTTAAATTATTTTGATTTGTTTGTTCAATTTTAATTGAATCTGGTATATTTTGTATTTTGAATAGAACATCTTTTCGTTTCCTCTCACTTGGCGTTATTGTTTCTAACATTGAGGGAATTTTCGAACGAAAAATACGACCTCTACATACAACAAGAACGACAATAATTATTGTTAAAAATGATATTAATACTGTTAATACACCAACGAGCCATCCCAATGTATCATCTGTAAATAGAAAAAAAACAATGTTTTATTTTCGATCAAATTGAGTTAAGAAAAAAACTCTTTTTTAATTAAAAACATTAAAAATAAATTCTTTTTTTAAATTTAAAAAAATTTTAATTTGAAAAAAAGGAAAGCTTACTTTCAATTTCTTCTAATAGCAGGAGACTGTCATTTCCCAATTCAACTGTTAGATTCTCATTGGGTAACATAAATCGACATTTCCATTGGCCAAAATCTAATGGTCCAGGGACAAAATGTAGAGTACAGACTCCACTTTGCGGCTCCATCAGCATGTAATATCTTTGTAATGAGAAAAATTGGAATTTTTTATTTTCATTTTCATTGTTTTTTGAATAATTTTAATTTTCGGTTAGTAATTATTTTTTTATTTATACTTTTATTTATTTAAATTATTATTTAAAATTAAATTAATTATTATTAAAAATAATTCTTAACGAATTTAATAATTTACTTAATTAACTGTTAATAATTTTTTTCTTTTTAAATCATTTGTTTTATTGATAAATAATTCAATTTATCTGATTGTTTCGAATTTTTTAATCAATTAATTATTTATCATTATAAACAATTTTTTTTTAAATAAAAAATTCTAAGTATTTTTAACAAAATTTTTTAATTGCTATTAAAAAATTATTCAATTAATTTTTAATTATTTTTTAAAAATATTTTTATTTATTTAATTTGTCTTACGTACTTGTTTTGAATTGATGAACTGAAATTGTCTCTCTTTTTGAGAACCTCATTGCCATGAAGCCATTGACACTCGGTTTTTGGTGGAACTGGACCAATTTTACAAGCCAAAGTAACAGCTTGATGATGAGCAGCCCAAAGTGTCACTGTGACTGGTTCTATAATATTCACAGTCGAATGTTACAATTTTTTTTCCACTCGATAGAAAAAAAAATTTCACCGAACACCTTTTTGAAGCTTTCAAATTTCTTCTTTTTTTTACCCCAGACACCAGAAAATGAATTCTGCCTCTTTGATACTTTTTTTTTTTTGTTCTATAAGCATGAGGTGTAAATACATTTAATGAATACTACTGGAAAATCACATTAATTGTTCTTCTTTTTGTTGTATACTAATTAAGGAAAAGGAAGAGTCAAAGTACTTGAGACTTTTTATTTGTATAAAAAGTTGTTTATTTCCTAAATATTTTTTTTTTTTCTACAAAATTGTAGAAAGACAATTTTTTAACGCGCGCACAATTGCTTTTAAGTTAATGCCATCGATTTTCACTTTTTTTTTTTTAATTCTTTATGTAATTGGAAATTTTTGTAAAAGTTAGAGAGGTACGAGACTCAACAGTCGTATGAGTGAAAATATTCTTTTCGTAAATTATTTGAAAATTTTTAATTTTTAACAGTTGATAATTAGCTTTTTAACAGTTGATAAATTATTTTTTAACAGCATTAAATTTTTGTCAATGGATTCAATTTGATTCGAATAACCGATTACTTGTCTAAAAATAAATATTAACTTGAAACAAATATTTCTTTAATTATTTAATTTCTTTAATTTAAATTATTATTTATTTAGTAATTAATTAATTAATTTTATTATTTATTTCATTATTTTCATTTAATTTAAATAAATTCTATTTCGGTCAATAATTTCGGTATTTGGTTCAAATACCATTTAATTGATCAAAATAAAGATTATTTTTGATGCAAATAAATATTTCTTTGATACAAATATATTTGAAAGTAGACGAGAAATTGTTTATTTGAATCAAATAATTTTTTTCCAGTATTTATTAGATATTACATTTTTGTGTTAGTGTCAATATTTTGAAATGAGAAAATATTTATTTGATTTAAATAATGGATTACTTGACTGTTATTAAATAAATATTTATTTTTAGTAAATAATTTTAGAAAAATTTATAAATCAGTTTAATAGTGTTTACTATAAATACAGGAATTATTGATCTAGAGTTTATTTAAATTAAATAAAATTGATTTGTTTCAAGTAAATGTTTTTATAATAGTCAAGTAAAAATTAATTAATTAATTAATTAATTAAATAAAACATTTAAAAAATGTTTTGCATCAGATACAGAAATAATTGGTTCGAATGAAGTTAATTCAAATTAAATGCAAAATATTTTTAACAATAAAAAATACTGTTCTAAATACCTTTAAATTGTAAATGGATTTTTTCGTTTGAATTTCGAATTTATGTTCATTTGAATTTAAATTTAAATTCATATTTTTATTGTATTACAATTATTGTAATACAATAAAAATATGAATTTATTTAAAAAAGGAATTTTTTCTTTTTGCTTTGAAATTTTAGAATTAGAGTTCGAATTTTTATTAAAAATTACAATTATTGTTTACTTTGCGTTTTCTTCTATTTTTTTACTGAAGAATATTTTCATTGAATATGTAAATAAAAAATTTTGTTTGCAAAACAATTTACTAAAAAAAAAGAGTGAAATACTGATGAAAAAGTCGATGCGATTGTTTATGTATACAAGTTTGATTTATCAAGGCACTAGTTGATAGAGAGTTTTTTTTTATTATTTCTCTATAATATATATATAATATATATAGGAACAAAATCTTTAGGAATACATATATATATATATATATATATATATATATATATATATAGGGGCAATCGATTCAACAAATTGCACAGTGTGTATTTAGCATGAGAGTGGTAAAGCAACGTTGCTCTACATAATGCATTCATGACTATGTGTAGATTTAGTTGCTCTCTAAAATTTATATTTACTCTCAACTTTCTTTTGTCACGTCGAAATGAAAAAATATCCACGAAGCAAAGCAGGCGATAGTGACATAAATTTTTAATTGTTTTTCTAATTTTTTTTTTCTCCTTGTTATTTTTTTTTCTTATATTCTTTTTCAAAACGTGACTGACAATCCTGAATCATGTAATTTTTGTCATTAACTTATTGACTTTTCTTAAACTAAAATCTTATGTTTTTTCTCCTTATTAACTTTTATTCGTTTTTTTAATTGCTGTTATTTTTTTTTGTTATCAAGTATTTTTTGTTATCAAGTATTTTTTGTTGCTAAGTATTTTTTGTTACTAGGAATTTTTTTTGTTGACAATTATTTTTTGTTATCAGGTATTTTTTATTGCCGAGTATTTTTTGTTACCAAGAATTTTTTGTTGCTAACTATTTTTTTATCAAGTATTTTTTGCTACTAAACAGTATTTTTTGTCAATATATTTTTATTTTTTTGTATTTGGTTTTTTAACTGAACAGTATTTTTTTTTTACTAAACATTATTTTTTGTTACTGGACATTTCTGCATGAGACTATTCTTCAGGTTAACAAATTTTTATTTTATTTACTTTGGAACGGAACATTATTTTTGTTGTTAAACAGTATTTTTCATCACCAAAGAGTATTTTTTTGTCACTAGTATTTTGTGTAACAAGAAATACTAAAATGGAGCAAAAAAAAAAATTGTGAAGAAATAATACGGAATTAAGAAATGAAAATTGTTTTTAAGGAGAAAATAGTTTTTTCTCGATTATAATAATTTATCATCTAAATTAGAAATTCTAAACTTTTTCACATACGAACTATCACGTGGTGTTTAATAAATAAAAATGGAATGACAATGAAAAAAGTGTGCGAGGTAAAAATTAGAAAATAAACATATACACATGGTCTTAATAGTACACTTAATAAAATATAAACAATGTTTGATTATTTTATCTATCTCGATATAGAAAAATTGAGCAACACTACAGAATTAGAATAAAAAAAAAATGAAGTTGCTTTGGAATTATTGGAATTGCAACATTTTTTTTAAACTTAAAAAAAAACTTGTCTTGATTCATTCGACTTATTGCACACAGGAATATCTAATTAATCAATAATATTCAAGGACCTTAAAACTATACGCACATACGAGAAGTGCATGAAGTGCATCGCTTCTTCTATATATATTTATATGCGAGTTTGAAAATTATTCACAAGGTGCTAAAATAGCCTCGAACTAATTAAGCTTCATTAAATTCAAAACCAACATTATTAACAGTTAAAGTATAAGATTGCATTAAAGCAATCCCGGTTCTTTTTTTTTCTTATTGACATTATAATAGAATCAGAGTAGACTGTGAATGTAAAATGCTTCATGCATCTAAAATTGAGGTAAACTAATTGCTAAAAGGAAATGCGACAAGTCATGAAAGTGATAACAACTACCCATGTAGAATAAATTAGAGGTATTAGCCGCTGAGGTAGCATTTGTTTCTATAAGAGTGTACAATTTTTGAGGAAAAAAACAAATCTCTTGGGTTCGCCAAGATTATTAGGATATCAGACTTGTAGCAAGATTCCTCGGTATGGAAAGAAATTTAGGATTTTTTCGACTCTTTGACTATTTTCAAAAAAAATGCGACTTTATTGGAATTAGGAACAAATTATTCAATAATAATTGTAACTTAGAATTTGGGGAAGGAAAAAAGTGGGAAACAGAAGTCAGAGTCACTTTTTTTTGGGGGGCCTAAAAGTCGATCCGAGGCTTGTTAAAAATTTGCTAATAACTGTTTTAAAAAGTAAATATGTACGCGAAATTTTTCTAATATTTATAGTAAGGAAAGTAATTTTTACTATAGAAAAGCGCTTTGCATGAGAATGCCAAAAAGGAAAGAGAGAAGCAAATAAATATTCAAATTCAAATACTAAAAAGTACTAATATAGAAAAGTTCATAGTCTCAATAAATATGTATTTAAAAACTAGTAATTTCTATTATCAATAATGAATGCATATTTTCAAAACTAGTTTTCAAAAAACTACAAAAATATGAAGCATTTATTCTTTTTTCTCTAGACAAAAAAAAAAGAAGTTCGGATCACATATGATGGGGGGAAGCAGTAGGAAAAAAAAATCATCACGTTTTTTTCCACCACCAAACCAGTGCGAACAATTGTTTTTTTTTTTTGTTGTGCATTTTTGAAGTATTTTAAAAAATCGACGTGGATTTGCACATTCGGTGTTGTGATTCTCTCATTCTTTCTTTCTCTCAGGATTCATTGATACCTGGTTGAAGGAGATTTAATTTCGCTGGCGATGCGTCTGTGTAGTTTTGTTGAAATCTAGTTTTCGCTCCACATGTCCAAAGACCCTCCTGCTCGGCAAGGGCGTTTGTCAGTCTCATACTGCAGTCACGGTCCTCTGTACCTGCCGGTGGAAATTGTCTAACGACAACTGTTGTATTTGAATTGATTGGCGTCAATGACCATCGACATTGATCAACTGCCGATGATGTCACACATTTGAATTGTACACTTTTACCCGGCGCTAAATTGAAGTCCGTTGATAACTCGGAGAATTTGATGTCCTCTGAAAATATTTTATTTATTTAGTTTTTGTGTCCATTGAAATATTTATATGTCTATGAGTCTATTTATACTACAACATGCTCTAAAATCTCGTGTGAAGTGAGTTGAAAATTTAAATTTACAAGTTAGGTGATTTCAGGGGTAAAAAAAGCTGTAGACAGGGGAAAAAAGAATTGCGTAGTCGCTACGCGCCTACGCAATCCTTTTTTCCCCTGTCTACAGCTTTTTTTTTACCTTTGCGTCACCTGAGATTTTAATAACAATTTTATAGTGAAAATAATTCATTCTATAAAAAAATTTAAGAGGATAAAAATATAGAAAAGGAAAGTAAATAAAAAATTGAAATTCGTTAATATTAATTGCCAAACTCTCTAAATTTGATATTTTGATTATAAACAATTGTAGAATTACGAATATTGATACGAACATCTTGAGATTCAATATGGAGATGCGTTCTCCACCTGAGAACGTCAAGGTCACCGCTAGATGGCAGTTCAGTTTCTTCTTGGAATTTTTACTGACCTCTGGTGGTGACCTTGGCGTTCTCAAGTGGAGAAATTAAACCACCATTTTATCCACAAATTATTATAATTAAAAAAATTTATTGTGAGAATCATTTAATTTGTCTTTTTAGTGAACATTTATGACTTTTAGACTAATTTTTCAAAAATGAGACTTAATTTTTTTTGCAAAATATTTCAACAAAATACCATTTTATTTTCTTACAAAAAATGCAAGTTATTTCGATTTTTATAGTGTGAAATATTGAGTTATTTTTTGAAAATGTAATTTTTAGTATTTTTTGCAATATAATTTTTTTTAAATTTAATGTTTTTCAAAATTTTTAATTATACCAGGATGTCTACTAACCGGAAAAACCGAGAAATATCCGGGAATTTAATTTGACCGGGAAAAACCGGGAATAAGCCTGGAATTTTATGCCAAACCGGGAATTTTTTCAACAAATTAAAAAAAGTTTTATTATTTTAATTTGTTATTAAAAAATCGCTTTTATTTCAATTTTTATAGATATTTATACTTTTCTCTAAATTTCAATTAGTTAAAAATAATTAATTTGATAGTAAAAAATCAGTCACTGATTCAAATATAGTATGTAAACAAATTTAAAAAAATTATCGAATTAATAGAAATTTTGTGAATTTCAACTGAAAATAATCAAATTTGTTAAAGAATTTCATTAAAAACTTTTTAACAAATCGAATTTTCAAAGTATTTTAATTTAATAATTGATAAGTAATTGAATTTTATAAAGAGTCACATTCTAATGTATTCATGTTTCTTAGTGCGAAGATTAATAATTACAATTTTAATTAGTTAATTTAAAAAAAGATAATTATACACTTAAATTTTTTAAATAAAATTGAATTTTCGCAAAAATTTTTTTGAAAATTCCGAAAAATAAGATTTTTGAAATTTTTCAATTCTGTTCTTTCAAGACAATTTAATTTTTATAAACAAATAATTGAAAAGTTTTGAAATAATTGTAATTTCTTTACATTCTATTAAAAATAATTAAATTCTTTTAAAGAATTTTATTTAAATTTTTCGAAAATAATCAAGGGAAGCTGTTAGTCACCGTAATTATAATTTTACTTTTAAAAATTTCTTGGCAATATATTTAATTATTTTCATAAATAGCAAAATTCTTCATATTTACTAAATTCTTTTCAATATTATTTTAGAAAAAAATTCTTTACAAGAATTCAATTATTTTCATAAATTTCCATAAAATTCTAAAAAACAATTCAATTATTTTCAAAAATAATAAAATTCTTCCCAGAAATTCAATTATGTTTAATCATGTTTTTAAATTCTCCTCAAAATTTCAATTATCTTTATAAATAATTAAATTGTTCTTCACAATTCAATTATTTTCAAAAATATTATATTTATTTAAAAAATTTTTTTTAATTCTTTGTTTAATTTAATTATTTTCCAAATTTTTAGTTAAAATTATTAAAAAAAACATTATTTTCAAAAAATCTAAAGAAACTCGCCAAAAGAATTTAATTATTCAAAAAAATTCTAATAACAAATTTGGAAACTATTTTTAAATTTTAGAAAAATTAATTATTTTTCAAATTTGCCATTATATTAAATGTCTTTTAGAAATTTAATTGTATTTGAAAAATTTTATTAGTATATTTTTAAAAAACTAATTTTTAGAATTTTTTTATTATAATTTTTTTAAATTCAATTAATAAAAAAAACTTTTTGGGCTTATTGTTGAAATTTATTTAAAAATCATGTATTTTTATATTTGTAATTAAAATTTTTTAAAAACTGTATTACTTTATATTTTAAAAATTGTTGCTAAATTTCTAATTATTTAGACATTTTTCAATTATCCTAAGTAATTAAAAAATTTATAATATTTCAAAATAATTATTAAAAAATATTTTTTAATAATTATTTTGAAATATTTTCAAGAAAGAAATTTAAAAAATTTATTTATTTAAAATAGCAGTTATGTAGAATTAGGAGAATTAATTTCTTAATTTTTAAATTAGAAAATTAATAATTATCCAATAATATTTACCAAAAATTTTTAAAATCAATTTTTAGTTATGTTTGCAATAATTCAATTTACTTTTCAAAAAATTTACTTTTACTTTCTAAAAAATAATTTTAATTTTGGAAAAATTGTAGCAGCAATTTTTAGAAATAATTATTTAACAAAATTGTTGAAGTTTTGAATAATTTAATTAAAAAATCACAGTTTTTTTTAATGTATCAAATTGATAATAAAGTGGATCAAATTGATGCCAAAAAATAAGATCAATTTTTTATTTGATCAACATTTTTTGTATCAACTTGTTGCAATTTTAGGCTTTAAAGTTTGCAGTGGCAGTGAAAGGTGAAAATTAAAATTAAAATTAAAATTAAAATTAAAATTAAAATTAAAATTAAAATTAAAATTAAAATTAAAATTAAAATTAAAATTAAAATTAAAATTAAAATTAAAATTAAAATTAAAATTAAAATTAAAATTAAAATTAAAATTAAAATTAAAATTAAAATTAAAATTAAAATTAAAATTAAAATTAAAATTAAAATTAAAATTAAAATTAAAATTAAAATTAAAATTAAATTAAATTAAATTAAATTAAATTAAATTAAATTAAATTAAAATTAAATTCGTCATTAAATGACGAAAATTCAAAATAAATTTTTCATAACGCGGTGCAAAAAAGGGCACTTTTTTGCACCTTGTTATGAAAAATATCGTTTGTAACTAGTGCGAGCAGTTGTCAATTTTTGAATGAGCACATAAATTAAACGACTTTTTCGACTATTTTTGTATTTTTACTCCGAGGTCTGATTTTTAGAAATTTGTTTGTTTTACTGAATTAAAGGGATTTATTATTTTTTTTTTTTTGATCAAATTTTTACTAAATTAATGTCTGTTGATGACTCTTAGAATTTAATGCCCTCTAAGTGTTCATTTATTTTAGCATCAAATTTGTTTTTGTTTGTTTTACTAAGAAAACTAGTTGTTCCAACTAAATTTTTTATTTTTGATTAAGATCCAACAAAATTGTTTATTATCAACAAACATTAATTAAACTTACAAACATTATTTTGGTTTCGTTCATCTTCAATAATTAAATTTTTTAGCTGTGACAACAAAATGTTATTTTTTATTTTGAACAATACAAGTGTTGTTTGTTTATTTGTCGAGTAATGTTTGTCAATTTTTGGTCCAAAATGTTTATCATAATGTTTTGCTGAAATGTTTGTCAATGTTTAGATGTTCTGCCAAAAAGTTTGTTTGTTTATTCTACTGAGAAGAGGAACAAAAAAAAAAAAATGTTTGTCAATTCTTTTTGGATGTTTTCTGTCTTGGGAAATTTGAATTGTAAGGGAATTGTAGTTGACACTCACCTTGTTCGTATATTGTGAGTTTAGCAACAGGCGATGATAGTATTGTATTTGATCGAGGAATGGAAACTTGACAGCACCAGAAACCTTGTTCTTTGGCGTAGACACGGGGAAGGTTGAGACTACAATCACGACTGACTTCACCCTTACTGGGGAATTCGTGAATGATGACCTCATCATCATTTCCGCTCAAAGGCCTCCAACTCCAAGCACATTTTTCGACACGTCCATTAGTCACACACTTGAGAATAGCCTCTGTGCCTATTGGTACTGAAATATCTTCCGGTGTTTCCACAAAATTCACCTTGCCTAGATCCCAAAAAAGGAACAAGTTGTTATTATAAATTTTATACATTAGAAAGTAGTTTTATTCGATCGCGAGATGATATCACAGAATGAGAGAGAGAGAGAGAGAGAGAACAAGGCAAAAATCATAAAAATTCTTCATCATCGGAAATATATTTATAACGATTTCTCAATTTTTTTTTTCTTCTTATTTTTTTTTCCTCTCTCAATTGAAAGATAAAGCCACGCCTCGAGCCTTTCACATAGTTTGCTAATATTTTTCGCTTCCGTTGCCACCTCTTGTTTCATAATGAAGCAAAAGGAATGTTAATTTCCAATTTTAGCATACACACATATTGACTGTCAAGGTTTTCCGTAATTTATTCATATTTTGAGAAATATTCTTTTGCCAATTAAGAATGCTAAGGAGGTGAATTTAAAGAATTCATGTATCGAAAAAAGGATGATGATGATGATGATGATAGTATTCAAGATGATTCAGACACTTCCTCATTCTGCGCAGGAAAAAAAACAGAATAAGAAGAAGAATAGAAATGACAGGGAGATTATTATCAACGTTATATTATTGATTATTATTCATCGACAATTTCTAGAGAGGGATTAACGGAAATAACAATAGTGCCATTAATTACAAAATGTACTTAAAATAATAACTATTTAAGTCCTTTGGGATTTGTATTAACTATTGCGGAGAATAATTGTTTAGTTGTAGAGGAAACGGTGTGTATAACATCAATCATTCGTCAATAATCATTATACGAGTTGGCAATTAGCATATACCATAATTAAATTGGCGCCGTCTAGAGTGACTAATTGTAGAAGAGAATTAAAATAAAAATTGCATCGTGAAAAGAAAAAATAATTACCAGAGGGCAAAAGTGTCACTGTTGCTGGTGGTGCTTCGTGAAGAATTCCATTTGTTGATAGACGAACGCCACAGGTCCAGAGACCTTCTTCTTTGTAGAGAACATTTTTGAATTTCATTGAACAATCGTGTTCTGTTTCTTTACTTGGGGCAAATTTCTTGATAACTGTTGGTTCCTTGCTTGAATTTGATGGTTTGAATGACCATTCACATTGGACCACTGGTTTATTGACGAGACATCGAAGAAATACTGTCTCACCGGCAGCTATTTGTATTCCACGTGATAGTTGCACGAACTCAACTGAAAAATTTATTGATGATTTTAGTAGTTTGATTTTGGAAAATTTTAAATTATTTCCGGGATCTCGGACTGTAACCTTTTCACATTGTTAAATATTTTTTAATTTTGGCACCTATAAAAATTGTATTGAAGATAATAATTAAATTCTATTAAATTTTTGGAAATAATGGAATTTCTACGAAGAATTTTATTATTTATAAAAATAATTGAATTCTTGAGAAAAGTTTTATTAAATTTTTAGAAATAATTGAATTTCTGCGACGAATTTTATTATTTATAAAAATAATTGAATTTTTGTAAAGAATTTGATTATATTTTTGGCAAATAATTGAATTTTTGCAAAAAATATTATTAAAGTTTTTGAAAATAATTGAATTTCTTTGAAAACTTTTTAGTACTTATAGAAATAATTGAATTCTTGACAAGAATTTGATTTAAATTTTCAAAATAATTGAATTTCTGCGAAGTATTTTATTATTTATGAAAATAATTGAATTCATTTTGAATTTTATAAAAGTTGTCTTGAAAATAATTGAATTTTTGTCAAGAATTAGATTATATTTTTTGAAAATAATTGATTTTTTACGAAGAATTTTATTATTTTTAAAAATAATTGAACTATTGAGAAGAATTCTATTAAATTTTAAGAAATAATTAAATTTCTGCTTAGAATTTTATTATTTATAAAAATTATTGAATTTTTGCAAAAAATATTATTAAAGTTTTAGAAAATAATTGAATTTCTTGAAAATTTTTTTTATTATTTATAGAAATAATTGAATTGTTAAGAAAAATTCTATTACATTTTTGTAAATAATTGAATTTATGAGAAGAATTCTATTAAATTTTTGAAAATAATTGAATTTCTGCGAGGAGTTTTATTATTTATAAAAATAATTGAATTCTTTTTTAATTTTTTAAAAATTGTGTTGAGAATAATAGAATTTTTGTCAAGAATTTGATTATATTTTTTGCAAATAATTGAATCCTTGCAAAAAATTTTATTATTTTCAAATATAAGTGAATTCTTGAGAAGAATTCTATTAAATTTTTGGAAATAATTAAATTTTTGCAAAGAATTTTATTATTTATAAAAATAATTGAATTCTTTTTTAATTTTATAAAAATTATGTTGAAAATAGTTGAACTTTTGTCAAGAATTTAATTATACTTCTTGCAAATAATTGATTTTTTACGAAGAATTTTATGAACGTTTTGGAAAATAATAAAATTTCTTGAAAATTTTTTTATTATTTTTAGAGATTAAATTGAATTCTTGTCAAGAAATTGATTCCAATTTTTTAAAATAATTGAATTTTTGCAAAGTATTTTATTATTTATAAAAATAATTGAATTTCTTCAAAGTATTTCATTATTTATAAAAATAATTGAATTCTTGCCAAGAATTTGACTAAAATTTTTTAAGATAATTAAATATCTGCAAAAAAATATTATTATTTATGAAGATCATTGAATTCTGGAAAAGAATTTGATTAAACTTTTTCAAAATCATTAAATATCTTGGAAGAATTATAATTATATTTTTGATTAAAAATAATTAAATTGATTTTAAGAATTCAATTAAAATTGCAATGGAAATAAGTTACTTTTCGTAAAGAACATTATTAAAATTTTTCAAAATATGTAATTCAATTCTTTTGTAGAATTTCATTAAATGCTTTAAAAATAATTAAATTTGGTACAGAAAATTTATTCAAAGTGGGTTGAGAATAATTGAATTTTTGAAAATAATTAAATTTCTGTCAAGATTATATAGTTGTTTAGAAAAATAATTGAATTCTTTTGAAGAATTTTGTTATTTATAAAAATAATTGAATTCTTTTGAAGAAGTTTGTTATTTATAAAAATAATTGAATTCTTTATGAATTTTATAAAAATTGTGTTTTGAAAATAATTGAATTTCTTCGAAAAATTATTAAATTTCTTTAAAGAATTCAATTAAAATTGCAATGAAAATAATTAACTTTTTATATAGAACTTTAGCAAAATTTCCCTAATAGATAATTCAATTCCTTCGAAGAATTTAATTAAATACTTTAAAAATAATTGAATTTGGTAGTGAAAATTTATACAAATTGTTTTGAAAATAATTAAGTTTTTGTTAATAATTTTATTACTATTTTTGAAAGTAATTGAATTTCTGCGAAGATTATATAGTTGTTTGGGAAAATTCTTTTGAAGAATTTTGTTATTTATGAAAATAATAGAATTTCTGTAAATAATTTTATGAAAATTTTTGAAAATAATTGAATTTCTGCGAAGAATATTATTATTTCGGAAGATAATTGAATTCTTGCCAAGAATTTTATTAAAAATTTTTTTAAATAATTGAATTTTGGAATCGAAGAATTTTGTTAAACATCTTTATGGGTATGCAGTACCTTCGGAGATGAGTAATCGAATGGGATTTGCAAAAACAAAGGATGAGTTGACGCTCATTCGTGCAGCACAGGTCCAGATACCCTCTCGTTCATGTAGAATTTTCTTGAACTTGATGCTGCACTCGTTGCTCTCATTCCCGAAGGCCTTTAACTTTTTCACCTCGAGATTCCAAGGTTGTGACTGGTTCAACTGCCGCCAAGACCACTGACACTCGTAAACAGGGGTCATTGTTCGACACAATATCTGTGTCGGCGATCCGGCAGGTGCTTCAATCGTACTTTCCTGATTTTCAAAAATTATCGGCAATTCTGCAAATATATACGTCATATAATTACGATATTATATAATTATGCGTACATTGGAGGGTTATTATACTTATATATAATTGTGCAATGTAATATTATGTAATTAATATGATACATTGTCATTTAATTGATGCATTATCATCAAATTATAAAATTAGTTTACTCAGGCCTTGGATAAGATGACTTTTTGCATTTTTTTTTACTGTTTTCAAGAAATGCGAATTTTTTCAACTTGTTTTAATAAAATGGGACTATTTCGGATTTTCTTTTACATATTTTGCAAAAAAATATTTTTTCATCTTAAAACCTTTTAAAAAACCATAACGAGTTACAGTGTAAATTTTAATTTAAAAAAATTGAATTTTTGCGTTTCAACGATTGTTCTCTAAATTTACTATTGTTTCTAAAAAATTATTTTCAAAATAATTTAGAGATAAATTTGAGGATAAATTTTAATTAAATTCTTGATACTGAATTTTGGAATATTGTTGTTAGTATAGGAATTTCTGGAGATAAATAAATTTCAAGAGGTTTGAAGTTGAAATTTTTGAAAATTTGAATTTTGAATAATTTTAATTAAAAATTCTAAACAACTTAATTCTTTGAAATTTTTTTATTAAAAATTTACTAAAATTAGTTATTTATTAGTAATTTTTGAACATGTATTTAATTTGCCAAATTTTCGAATAATCAAAATTTCGTGAAATTCAATTGATAACAATTGAGTATTAGACATATTTTAAATGACTTTCTTTTTCATTTTTGAACAATTTAATTCTCAGAAAAATGAAAATTATTCAAAATAATTGATTTGGAGAAAAATTTTTAATTAAAAATTCTGGAAATTGAATTTTTTAAGAGTTGTAAGTAGTAGAAATTTTTGAAAACAAGATTTTAAAATTCAATTCAAAATATACTTCCAAATTCTGAACAATTCACTTTCTCCAAGTAAATGTTAATTTAAATTTTTTGAAATTAGTTTAATTTTTGAAAGTATATACAATTATATTTGAAAAATATTCAAATAATCGAAATTTTTGAAAATTGAATTCAAAATAATTGAATTTTAAATTGTGTTTTATGAGAATTTTTTTTATTTTTTGAATATTTTAATTATCAACCAACTTTTGGGGAATTAATCAAAATAATTGATTTGAAAAAGAATTTCAGTTAAAAATTCCAGAAAATGATTGAATTTTGAAAAATTAGAGTAGCAATTTTCAGAAATAATTAATTCAGAAGGTTTCAAATAAAATTTTTTTGAAAATTTCAATATTGAAGTAGAAGTTTAATTAAATTAAAATTTAGGTTTGAAAATTTATTAAACTTTTGAGTAATTTTAGTTAAAAATCCTGGAAAATAATTAAATTTTGGAAGAATTGCAGTTGCAATTTTTAAAAGTAATGAAAATTCAGAAATTCTGAAATTAAAATTTTTTTAAATATAACTCCTGTAGAATAATATACATAAAAGTATTTAAATATTTTTTTAACGAGTTTATTGAAGTGTAGAATAATTTAATTCAAAAATCTTGAAAAAATTAGATTTTCGACAAATTTTAATGAAAATTTTTTGAAGGTAATTGAATTCTTGAAAGTAATTCAAAACTTGTAAATTTCGTTAAATTTTTTCGAAATAAATTTTATATTTTGAAGAATTTTATTACAACTTTTAAATAATAATTGTGTTTTTTCACGAAAAATGTTAAAAGGTTTGAAAAATAATTGAATCAAAATCTTTTGACTTTTTTCTAATTTGAATCGACTGAAACGAATTTTTTTGGGGGTTTGAAAGTCTGAGTTATCAAAATATTAATATTAATTTTTCTAAAGGATGATCTCTTTTTTTTACAACTATGAACACAACAAAATTTTTCCAAAGTTATGAACGTTCAAATCAACGAAATTTTTTCCCATTGAAATATTTTTCAAAATTGCTAAACAAAAAGGAAAAAATAAAGTAAATATTTACTCAATAGTTTAAAAAAATTAAATTTAATTGTATTAAAAATTGTATCAAAGAATCAATTTTTTTATATTTAAAATAATTTTTTTAATAAAAAAATACAAACTTTTAAAAAGGAAGAAAATATTGGCGTTATTTTGAACGTTCGAAACTTTAAGAATATTAAAAAAAAAAAAAATGCAATTGAAAAATATATTAAAACATTTGAAAGTAATGGAAAAGTATATAAAGATTAATGCTCAGATGATTTCGTGACTGATGATATATATGGTGATTAGATGAAAGTGAGAAACATCCGGTAAGAAGGTGTTAATTAATACTGAATTTCACAAAATAAAAAAAAATTGTATCAAAGGCATTGAATTATTAGACCGAAACATTTGGGAGAATTTGTTTAACATCTAATCAATTTTGTTAGAGGAGAGAAAAATTCTGTTTTATGCTCTAAATTTTTTTAATACTCATAGTGAAATTTTTACCGAAGGTGAAAATAGAAGGTCGAAAAAATTAAATTGAAGGGAAAACAGATAAAAATTAAGTACGAAAAATAGTGTTTGGTATAAAAGTACCAAAAAAAAAATGAAAGTGAAAAATAATAAAATAATAAAAAATAATAAAAAATAATAAAAATAAAAATGAAAAATAATAAAAATAATTTATTACATTGTATATTATTTTTTTTTAGATTTTCTAAGTAGATTATATTTTCTACTGTATGATCATAAATATATTTTATATTTTTATTACATTTTTTGTTGTTTTTTATGTTAATATATTTTTGAAAAGATGGATTAAGGAGACAAACCTTTTGTTGTTTTGACAATGCTCAATTTTGCCGGTTGTGTGCTGATGAAGGAATCATTTTTCGAAATTCTTGCTGCACAAGTCCAGTAGCCCGTTTGCGCTTGTTTTGTACTTGAAAATCGCACAGAACAGTCATTGCTATTGTTGCCGAAGGCAGGAAATTGTTGTAGTGGAAGGGACGATGCTTGTGTTGTTGATATTGTTGATGTTGTACTCACTAAATTATTTAAATTCATTGTCGAATTTTGTTTTTCCATTTGGTTAAATATTATTATTATTATTAAATTAAAATTAAATACATTATTATTATGATGACAGTATATTTTTTTTTATTCAAAGTTCTTTTTTGCAATTTCGTTAAATGTTAATTTTTATTTTTATTAAAAGTGCGTTTCTTAATTTGATTGAAAATACTGATTCGAATAAAATTAAAAAGGACAGATACCAATAAAATTAAAAGTACAGATTCAATTAAATTTAAAAGTACAGATTCTATAATAAAATTAAAAATACATACACTAGAATCTCATTTTAATGAATTAACCTTATACTTCTGATGTAAACCAATTAGATCAAATTAGGTCAAACTTTTAACAATAAAAAATTAAAATACAACATCGATTAAAACATGAACTATTTCCAAAATAACTTGTCAAGTTAAGTTTCTTATTATAACAATTGAAAAAATTATAATTTATTTTTTATATTTAAAATTGTTATTCCACACAATTAATATATTTTACTAACATTTTTATAATTAACATATATTTCTAAGATTCTAACCACATAAATTTGACACAATTTATTTAAATGTCACTTGCGTTTGACATTTCTAATATTGATAACAGATAAATTCACGTATATCGAGATTTTACAGTCCCGAGATTTTTTCGTTATAACGAGATTCGAGTGTATACAATTAAAAATTTTCATAATTAAAAAATTAAAAATAAAAATAAATTTTTTTAAAAACAGTTTTATTAATTCTAAATAATATAAATTTGTAATTATTATCGTAATTTATTAATTGTAAAAAGAATTAAAAAAAAAGAATACTCACAAGTAGGAACAAAGGAATTGTCATTAATTTCCGGAAGTGGAAAGTGCGTGGAGGGAAGTGGTCGCCAGGACCATTGACACTCGGTGACAGGAAATGCTGTCCTGCAGGATAATACCACAGGAGCTCCTAATTTTGTTTCCGTGTGTGCAGGAACATCGACAAAAATCACAGCAGGTGTCGGTGGTTTTGTTCCTGGAAGTATGTCATCCATAAGATGACCCTCAACCTTATCAGTTGCGGTTGATATTTGCGTTGTACTTTCAGTAAAATTTTGATCAAATATTGTCGTTGTTGCTGTCGCATTTTCCTCCAATATTTTACCTGCGCAATAATTATTAAAAATATTACAGAAATTAAAAGAATAATTGCAAATGGCGAAATAAAATAATTGAAGTAATTATAATATGAAAAAAATTAATTAATAGGGATAATTTTTCGAACTTTCATATGAACGATTTTTTTTTATTTAAAATATTTTTTGAAAATTACAGTACAAAAGAGAAATGTGATTAAGATTTCATTTTCTTAATTAGGAACTAATTTTTTTAATAGGAAACTAATTTTCTTTTTAAAAAAAGAATATAATCTTTTATTGTTTGTCAATGTATAAAATAAAAATGAATAAAATAAAGAAAAACAAACGGTTTTTGCAAAAAGAATTTTTTTTTGTATTTTTCCTTTTCTTCTTTATTTTACCTTGACAATATTGATTGTTGAATAACTGTGTCCTATTGTGAAAATTATATTGCAAAATACACTTGGTTTCACTTAATCAAACACAATAATTGAAATCGCATATTCTATCTCTACACATGGTTAGGAATATTAGCGTCATGAGAATTAAATTTTCTTCTAAATTCAAAACAAATAAGGAAATATTAAGCATTTTGATAATAATTTTTCAATATTTTGCAAATTAGTTTTATATTAAATAAATAATTAAATCTCTTAATTTGAAAAATCTCTTTTTTAAATTGAATCATCTTTTTAAAAATTAAAATCCCCTCCTCCTCTTTTCTCCCCTTAATATTACATTAAAAAATCACTATGATCCCTGGAATTATAAACCATTTTATAAATTATTATTTAACAATTATTTAATAATTAATTAATAGAAAAAATTTAATGGAATTATTATTTGTTTTCATTTTCTATTTTTTTATAATACTTGAAATATAAATTTTTTTTTTTCTTTTTGTTTCAGGTGAGTCAAACAACACATGTTCTCTGACGAGTTTATTTCGTAAGTAAATATATTTGAAGATATTATTATTATTATTTATTGAAAATGTTTATTATTTATTAAATGTATTTAGGTGAACCAATAATTCTTCACCTAAATATAATTATATTAAACTACTTTAAAAAATTGATTTAAATTATTATAAAAGAAATCATAAAAAATAGAAGGAAATAAATTAAATAAATTAAATAAAAAAATGTACATAATTTGTAGGTAAAAAATTTATTTTATTAAATTTACATTAAGAATATTTAAATTATATTATTTATACCTATTTACCATGAAATTTTTAAATTAGCAAAAAACTTTTTGTACAAATTTTTATAACATAGAATTTTATATTAAATATATAATTTTTTCTACTTGAAAATTTTAGCATTGATTGAAAAGTAAAAATAATAAACAAAAACAAATGCTTTTGTTTATTATTTTTACTTTGCAATTAATGCTAAAATTTTGTTTTAGTTTTTTTGCTTTTTGTTAAAAAATAAACAGCTTTTTAATTATTTTGTAATAAAAGGACGATATAATGTGGATAATTTTAGAGAAATTACACATGATTGCAGAAATTCAATTATTTTCAAAAGTAATAAAATGCTTCGCAGAAATACAATTATGTTCAATAAATTTTTCAAATTTTCATCAAAATTTCAATTATCTTTAGAAATAATTAAATTCTTCTCCGAAATTCAATTATTTTCAAAAATTTTTCTCAATTCAATGATTTTCAATATCTACTATTTTCATAAAATTTTCCAAAAGAATTCAATTACTTAAAAAAAAATTTAATAAAACTCTACACAGACTTCTAATGTATTTTCAAAAAATAATAAAAATTTCACATCAATTTCATTATTTACAATTTTTTTTATAAATTTCTTCGCAATCATTTAATTATTTTCATAAATAATAAAATTTTTACGGGGATTCAATATTATTTTCGTAAATAATAAAATTCTTTTTAGGAATTCAATTATTTTCATAAATAATAAAACTCATTGCAGAATTTCAATTATTTTTAATACAATATTTTAGTCGAATTCTTCGAAACTAGTTTCTTGAAAATTTTATTAAAATTCGTCACAAGAATTCAATTATTTAAAAATTTATATATAAAATTCTTTATGAAAATTCAATTTTAAGAAACATGCAATTATTCAATAAATTGTTATTTTTGTATTTAAAATTTTAAATAATTAAATTCTAGTAGAATTTTCTCATAAACATTGATTTAAAAATGGATTTTAATTAAATTTTTTCAATTATAATTGAATTTTAAAAGCATTTAGAGCGTAAATTTCTAGAAATAATTGAATTTTGAAAAGGTTTCAGATTACAATTTTTCATATTTTTAACTAACAATTCTGTGGAATTTATTTTTTTTGAGAAATTTTAATTGCGGATTTTTTAAAATTATTTAAAGTTTTTATTTTCGAATATATATTTATAATTGAAGAATTTACGAATAATTGAAATTTTGTAAAATTCAATTGTAAACAAATGAATTTGAAAATTCTTAAAGAACTTTTTCAAAATTTTTTAAAAATAATGGTTTTATAGAAGATGTTTAGTTAAAAACACGAAAAAAAATTCAATTTTGTAAAAGTTACAAATTTTTGCAAAAATTCAATTATTTTCAAGGGTAATAATATTCTTCGCAAAAATTAAATATTGAACTTCAAAAGTAATAAAATTGTTCTTAGGGATTCAATTATATTTTCACAAATAATAAAACTCATTGCAGAATTTCAATTTTGCAAATCAATAAAAATTGATTTGAAAATTAATTTCGCAGTTAAAATTTTAGATAATAATTGAATATTAAAAGCAATAGAGCTTGGATTTTTGAAAATAATTGAATTTTGAAATTAATTTTTTTAAAAAGTTTAATTGAATTTTTTTCAATATTATTTAAATTTTTTATTTTCTAATGTTTATTTTATTAAAGAATTTTTTTTAAGAATTCAATTATTTTCATAAATAATTAAACTCATTACAAAATTTCAATTAATTTTATTACAATTTTAATCGAATTCCTCGAAAAATGTAATTATTCTTAAAACTAATAAAATTAATAAAACATTATTTGATTCTACTAAGGACGGAAGTAAAAAAAGACAAATAAAGAACAAAAGATTTAATAATTGACAAGTGATCGGTTATTTGAATCAAATATTTTTTTTTTAGAATAGTTATTAAAAAAGGGGTTTTTAATTGTTTTGTAATAAAAGACCTAAATACGCACAAAAGGCGCATTTTGGTCTTTTGTTACCAAATAATTAAAATAACAAAAGTTTTTTTTTGAAATTCTGCGAAAAAGTTTTCTATTTAAGAAAATATATAGACAGTGAAAATATATACACTGTAAAAAATTTAGGGAGTTAACGGACTCGGGAGTTGGGAGTTAAATTTTTCGAGTTAAAAATCAACTCCAAAAGAGAGTTAATTTCTAACTCCCTTCATTCAACACCCGCGCGAGTTATTTTTTCCATGGGGAGTTAGCATTTGGGTGTGAAGTTTTAACTCTCTTTATTTAACTCCCCTGGCATTAACTCTCCAATGGGTGCGACTTTTATAGAATCCCCTGGGGAGTTAAAATTTAACTCCCTTTTTTTACAGTGTATAGACAGTGAAAATATATAGAGTGAAAAATGTTTCTAAGTCATGATAAACTATTTTAAAAAGTGAATTAAAAAAAAAATTTTTTTCTTTGTAGTCGCATTTATATCGAAAAGGTTTATGATATTATAATGACTCACGATGGAATAAATTCCTGGCGCACGCAAGAGTCGAGACAAGTTAAAAACCAGTAGTTAAGTCGTGCTCTAATTCAGGTGCATGAGATCGGCATAATTTCTCGAAGCCGGTCCCATCGCTTTAGGTGTATATAAATATATACGTATACATATATACATAAGCGAAAATCATCAGACACACTCCATGAAAGTGATTGCCCTTGGCAGTTTACAATATTCGAACACATCTTTTATAACCGGTCAATGCGTCACACTCTCAAGTTATCCTTATGAAAGAATTTGTTAATCGGATGCAAACGCACTTGCCACGAATTTTTTTTATTTTTTTTTTTTTTAAAAACATCGTCCTATCAGTTAAACCCATGTAATTTTCTGCACGCGATATAAAATTCCTAAATGCGTCCCGGCAGAGAAAGAAAGAAATTAAACTCAAAATTATGTGGATATTATCATTTCTTAACTATCAAATTCTTAAGCACACACTATCAAATTCTTGGGGAGTGAATCATTTCGTGTTAATATTTACGTACGCTGTATAAGTGCAGTTTTACCTTTTTTTGTGTTGACTTTTTTTAAAATTATTTTTATTTATTTTTTTCTTCATTTAAAAGTAGTTCATTTTAATGTAAATCTGATGAAAATTGACGAAATGTGTAAATTTATATTTTATTGTCTGATTTTAAAATGAAATGGTTTATTTTATTTTTTCTGTTATGCATGGAAAATTAATTTACAGTGGGACCTCGATTAAGCGAAATGAGAATTCGAGGTCCGGATAATCGAGGTTTTGGTGTTGATAATTTTGAGGGTTAATTGGATTTTTTAAATTTTGATTTTATTTTCAATTTGCTAGTGCTATTAATAAGGATAACTGAATGTTAGTAAAAAATAACAGAGTACTATTTCTTTCTCTTTTTTTTTTGAGTATTTCCACTACTTTAAATTCACTAATACTAGAAATTAAAGACTATTTTTAAAAATTATAACCCAATTCTTTAAAACGATTCAATTATTTTAAAAAAATATTCGAAAATTCAATTATTTTCATAAAATTTCGCAAAAGAATTCAATTATTTAGAAAAAATTGATAAAATAACCAAATTCTTTAAAACGATTCAATTATTTTTAAAAAATATTCGAAATTCAATTATTTTCATAAAATTTCGCAAAAGAATTCAATTATTTAAAAAAAATTTTAATAAAATTCTAAGCAAAAATTCAATTATTTTCATAAATAATAAAACTCATCGCAGAATTTCAATTATTTTTAATATTATTTTTAATTAATTATTTAAAAAATCCAATTATTTTCACAAATAAAG